GGATGTCATCCATCTGGAGCGATCGTGAATGGCGGCCTTTACTTTCATTACATTTCCTGCACAAAGCTGGGGTTTAGTGACTCACCACTGCGCTGCTGGTTTTGACTGCATGGACTTCACTCCACCATCTATAGGGACTGCCACTGTCAAATTAAGCAGAGGAGATGCTGAGGCCATGGCATGGCTATTGTACTTATAATCCACCCTAAGGTCAGTATGACCCGACTCACATTTCCAGTATGCAACTAACTGGTAAGGGCACGATCCTGCGCCACTTTTCGGTTTAACCTGTACGGAGACAAAACATTATCCTTATAATCTTATCTGCTATTCAATACAAGGAATATAAATGTATTAAAACATTTTCCAGTACAAATAGATGCTAATGAATAAATAGTTTTATGGTATGTATCCTTTTAAGATGAAACAATTTCATAGAACTTCCTTCTTTATGTTTTGTTATGATATCTGTGACTCTTCCCCCCACAGAGCAATACCGTGTTTTACGTCGAAGGCAAATCAAAAGAAAAACAAGTCACAAACCTGATACTTCAAGATGTCTACATTGAAGTAAGATGCAGAAGGATTTTGTTCAGACTGTCTTCTGAGCAGAGCAGTTAAGGCACTCATATTAAAGTCAAACAACATACTCTCATTACTTGACTGTGCAGAATCTCTGAAAATAAATGTTTAGTTACAACATGCAAGAATATACTTCGTAGCAGGAAATATATATACATACTGAAAAAACATTTGTAATGGAAAACTCCATTTACCTAAGTGTTAAGACACAATATGTTTCGATAAATAACATACAAGCAACTGACCACACACTTTAACATTCAGTAACTCAGCATTTGGCCCACAGAGTGCACTTATCAGTTTATTGTCCTCAAGTCTGTTGCATATAAAAATAACTCACAGGATTATTATTAATAAGTAACTTAAAATAATTATAAACTTATTACGCAACTTTTGTGTCACTAGACTTTAAGTAACTCACAGTGTAACCAGTTGTTTGTTGGGTAAAACATTATCGAGACGGTGGATGTTGCGAATTCGAAATGACAGCTGTGCAGGACTCGGATTATTGGCGAGTACTGCAACGATTCCCGCAGGAAAAGATAACATCATATCACCTGACAATTTTACTTGACATCTGGAACAATAATTAATGCAGAAAAAAGATAACACCAACAAAACCCCTGTAACAAGCTAAACCTAAAGTCAGTTTCACTTCATTTAAGCCAATTTATTTTCTATCAGCAATATCAACCATAAAAATGCAAGCGAAACTGGATAATCTACATATAGAAACCACCTACAACATATACTCTAAAATTAATGAAGCTGTGAATATATTCACAGAAGCAAAAGATCAGAATTATGAAAGTATAATGTTTCAATTAATTTAATTTCAACCAAGACCTTACTGTGGAAGAACTGACCACGTGTTTCTAGAGTATGAGAATTTGGTAACAGGCTCAGTGTTCACACTCTAAGAAATTTTAAAACTTTCTTTCATCACATACTTAGTTTCATCAGTTCCTTTGAAATACGAGTGAACAATTTCATGAAATGCGACGGCCAAAGGGATGGTGTCCGCCATGCCAATGGTTAGAGGCGAGGGTCCTCTTGATGAGCCAACAGGTATGCCTGCAGTTCGAAACTCAAGGCTGCCAACACTGTCAGCCCTTGAGATGGAAGATGAACCTGGAGCTGGACTCATTCGACCTCGTGGCGATGGGCCCTGAAAATTAAGCGATTTGTGTCAGCAAGTGAGTCTCCTCCTAGCATGGAAACACATGCACCAAGGGAATGAATACAAGGCAAAATAATAACATAATTATTTGAAGTACTGCCTTCATACCTCTCCTCTCCGTGATGGTGGCCTAGGAATTGCTATTGAGCCCTGTGTGGGTGTGGGAGTCTGTCTGGACTGTTTAGGAGGTAAAGCTGGCTGGATTTCTCCCACTTCCGAGAACAAATCTCCTAGATCTAGGGAAAAATTATTAAGTTAACTTTAGATAAGTTTCGTACAATTAAAGTGAGTAAAATATGCTCAAGAATGAAGGCAACAAACCAGCGTAACGAGAAGACGACGAAGGAGCGGGACTTCCCATGGAAGGTTGTGTGGGGCTCTGCAGTGGTGCGTACGGATGACCTCCACTTGGAACCCCCGTTGGGGTTGAGGCACTCGATGCTGTCGGACTTTGGAACAGACTCAATCCCAGTAAATCACTACTTGGTTTCCTATTATGAATTACATTTAAATAAATTAAGCAGAGAGTGATTATATTCCCAGCGAAAAACAGGAAAGAAGGACTAAGAAAATCCTGAAACACAATGTGTGGCATATATAGTATTTATTGATCCATGTGCACAGAGGTGATGATGTTCACAGACACATGCAGCATGTGCTTTAAAAAAAAGACAAAAAAGTGTATTTTGAAAGCGCGAGCTCCAATGTCTCTTCTCCCTCTTTATACATGTTCTGTCTATAGTACATTTCTTTTGATCTGTAACAGCATTTGCTTACATCCACACCTGTTTTCAGAGGTCTATGAACTTTCTACTATCTTTCTTAACAGAAGACAATATTACAAAACAAGAAATTCTTTTGTGCGCGTCCTTGGTCTGCAGCCTCCTTAAGGACTTAAAAAGAGCGAATTAAATGAAAACACAAGTTTCTGAAAGTAATCTTACCCGCCAAGCTGTTGAGATACTGACTGAGATCTCTTCATATGATGGTCAGATTCAGCACCAGAGTCTCTTCTGCCCTGGAAACAAATATTACAACGCATGCAAATCCCATGACACGCAACTTCTCTTAACCACAACGTGATTCAAGATATACAAAATTCAGCAAATGCAACATTTGACTTCGTGGAATAATCCAAATTCTAAAATAAATAAACAATGACCTAACTCCACGGAGCAGAGCCCTTCTTCAGAAGCCGATAGTATTCTCAGCTACTCAAGAAATTCTACGGATGAAACTGATAGAAGCTGCGTAGTCTATACACTTACAGAAGCCATGGCTACTGGAGAGAGTGACAAATTTTCAACAGTTGCCCGAAGTTCATCAACACTGGCACTCATAGGAGCAGAGCCATTACTCAACGGTTTGATTTCCACGTGGATTTTATGTTCGCGTTCATCATCTGCAATTAAAGAATCCACCATGACCAACTACTTTAAAAACTATGAATGCTGATAAACCAATCAAAATTTTATGCATTTCTTGGACATTTTTCTGATATCTGGCCTGATTCTAATCTAACCCTTTGATTTGGTTATATTATTATTTCTCTTATTATGCATGAACAAAGATTTAAGACTTATCTAAAAGGTATGTTAACACACCAGTTCTACCTCAAGTGCACAGATTACCTGAGTCTGTGTCAGAACTTGAGTAGAAACTGCCCTTCTCATTCCCCCAAAGGTCAACTTTAGGGCGTATACAGTAACCTTCTTCATCCACTTCAGGAGTTGGTGTTCCTGACTTTCGACTGTCATCTTTGTCTTCCCTGGAATCATCAAGACTTGCAGGCTTTCTGAAGAATGTAAGAACATTTGCTGTACATTAGGTTACGTTACAATGGACAAGACAAGTCACAAAAGCATTGTTACCAAAGGAAATTAAACACAAATTTCTTTAAAGATCTAATAACTCTTAAAGTTATCAGACTTCATAATTCTCAACCATATCTTACAATATGTAAGTGCTGTAACTATAGCTCTCATACACTATTTTGAATTAAAAAAATCATGTAGATATAGTAAAGCAATGTATTCTAATATTACATAATTACCTAAACCGTATAACTGTCGCACAAAAGATGGAAAATTCTATAAAGAATTAAACTATACTCTACAAAAAGTGGAGAGTGAGGCTTTATGAAAAATAGGAATTAAAGCATCAAAAATTTGATTATAAAGTAAATAGTGATATATGCGATTATTCACAGAAATGTAATGGTACAACCAAAGATAGAATCAATCACTTAGAGTGTACCCCTACTTTTATAGACACAAAATGACTAACAGCACACTATAACAGTTTCAACATAAAGTCTCTATTTGCATTTCCAATGAAACAGATCACAAATGCAGTTGATATTTCAATACAAATGTAAATACAAGGATTGTAAGAGCTACAAAATGAAGAAAAACACATGCATACTTTACTCATTTGCTGCATAATTATACTAATTTTGTAAGAAATTAACAACAACAAAATCTGGGTAAATAAAAATGCAACTGAAACATTGATACAAAAATTTAAGTATACTTATATATGAGAAGGTACTCCACAAAGAATGTCAAATATGTGCAGTGATCAAACTCTCCTACAGAGTTCTCCTACTTATGCGAGAGCAGCAAACCACGAGAAATGGATTCTGGTATTTTACATCTTTGACCGACCACAAGAGACAAGTCCTCAAGTCAAGTTACTATTATGGTACCCAAAATACGTCATAAATACAAAAACACAAATGTTGAAAAACTTACACATCTGACTTATCATCCTTGCTACTTGTATTATCTAAGCCATCCTTTTTCTTCTTTGCCTTCTTTTCCTTGCGTTTTTCTCTTCTACTTCTTAGAAACCCTGCAAATTGAAAAATGGGATTCATGACTGATCAACTGTTTAATAACCTGATAATACGAACACTACGCAATATATGAGTTTAAACTATCTCTTTCTGACAAATGCCTTTCTTAAATTAATTGTGGCTGAAATTCTATATTCTCAAACACTGGATGATATTTCAGAATATACTTTGATGCTGATGGCAGATCAGTTAATGAGAAAAATTTATCAAATAGTAATTGTGACAATAAGAGACATCAACCAGTAAGAAAGTAAACATTATTAAATTTAAGTGAAACTACAAGCAAACATTTCCAAATTATTATTATTATACTGTATGCCACAAGAAGCTGATTTTCAAAAATTGAAAAGCTAGATAATAAAATTAAATACAGATGCCAAGAATATGTATGGAAATTCCTTCTACAAAAATCCTTTTTAGATTGAAGTATGCAATTTTTTTCAATCACAAGATCTATGATATGGTTTTAAACTTGGAGGAAATTTGTAGGACTAGCTTTTGTGCATTTCATAAGAAATACATTCTTCACACAAATCTGATTTTGTCCAAAAAAATGTTGCATGTTAACAATTTCAGCTCTGAGAATTTAAATTCAAAAGCAACACAAACTATAATTTGGATGCAGTTTTTTAAACATTTTCTATATCCTTGCAATTATCATAACCAACTAAGCATCAGCACAAAAACTACTACAGTGCATGTGCTTGGGAATCATCAGTAGCGGTATCTGGCAGAATAAAAATGCAGTCAAATGCAAGAAAGGCACGATGAGAAAATAAATTCAACAGGTAATAGCAGAGTGAATGGATATTTTGTATGAAGATCAACAGTGAAAGAAGGGTTACTGAAAGTTCTGTGTCATGTAAAATTTCTTGTTTATAGAGAATGCCCACATAACTTGAATCAAGTTTATTAAACGATGAGAAATATATATTACTTTCATGTATAAGCCAGCAATTTTAACTGACATGCATGCTATATGTGCATCCACAAAGCGCCATATGAGCACAGGCAGAAAGGCTCTTGAAGAAAGCGATTACTTAGCATTTAAGAGCATTCACGGAAAAAAAGAAACAATCAAATATCCTCATGAATATTACAGAAACCTTTGCTCATTTACTGTTGGTGAAAATGTTGGGCAACTAAATATATCGAAGTGAACACGTTTATAAATTTGACTAACATATTTTAATCCTGTATGAGGGAAATTTCTCCATCTTCCCATCAAACCTCTAACATTCATTCTCTTAAGCTTTTCAAAATTGCCACCTCCTTCATTCTCACTATACGACAACCTCATTACATTATTCCCAGAGTTCAAAGTGGGTAAAAATTTCTATCGGAAAATTTGTGCATATATCAGATTATACAGGCATAAACCAAAAAAAATATTTACAGGCATGTGCAAGGAATTTTTAACAGTGCAACATTCAACCTCACTGCATCTACAGGTTATTTACCCAAATCATATTTCGTTATTTAGTGCTTTCCCTGTCTATTACCCATCTCCATCCTCCTGACCATCATACCACTATAACCTTCACCACAACCTTCTCATCCCTACCACGTCTTCCCATATATTCTGCTATTCATTATTAGCTCTTTTATCCCAAGTTCCATTCTCCGTCAGCCCTCTCTTTTGCCACCTCTCAGTTTATTTTCCCTCATCTACACACCACCTTTACTGCCTTTCGTAACACATTTTCTCCTCTCTTCTACACAACCCCACTTGACAGAACATTTCTGTCCTAGTCAATGAAAGGACTAAATTCCTGCAAAAATAACAATATAAACACATAATTAAAGTATTATAAAAGACCCACAACAAAAATATACACTGTCATAGACAAGCTGAAACTAGTACGTAAGTTTATATATTCAGCCACACGCATCTAACAAAATCATAATGCATAAGCTGAAATAAAAGTATAAAATAATCATGTCAGGTGACATAAGTACCAAGCAGGGCCACAACTGCATCTTCCCTTACCACCAAAGTCTGAATGCAGGTAAAACGGTCAAGTATTCTGAAACGTTAAAAGGCGGCGATTCCCAAACTTTTCTGTTCAAAAAACACTTTTGGCTACAGAAGTTGTCCACATTCTGTATTTTCAGTATACTCTTAAGATTCAGCAACTGAATATGTAAACTTACATCATTATCCAAATATGCATTTTTTTATCACCGCTATTTATATTTCTTCATGCCTACGTTTGTTCTAAGCGACGCACTTCAACTGTTAACAGCCAATGTAACTACAAAAAAAGCATTTCAATTTTTAATGAACAGCATACTACATTTCTACAGAAATATCTATCAGATTTATAAAATCCAATTCAGCGCAAGTCACATGAATTGCGAGCCAATGCTACTATCCCTTATACAAAGACTTTTGCCTCATTCTACTTCAGTTCTAGCTTTCTACTTCAACATTACTAAAAAAGAGAAAGTTTATACATGTAAATTAATATCATCAGATAACATACATAATGAAATTTGGGCCAAAAAACCTTCAATAACCCTTTCCAAATACCAGACCATTAAGAATCTTCCATTTATCACTTGTTCCAAAAGCAATGCTAAGTGGTAACACATTAAAATGGAATAAATAAATCCTGCCTCTACTCAGCAATGAACGTTCCGATGATCATAGCACCAGATACTATGGGAAATTTATTCAAATCTACAGCAAGTTTTAAAAGGACTGCAACATAGCATGCAAACATCATTACTATCATCTACAGTCCTGGTCAATCCTTTTAAGCCAATTCAACATGGGAGTGGCTTTGGATCTGTGATATTAAACACCATTTGCGTGGAAAGCTTAGTAATTCTCTGGTAGTGCCCAATTAGCCACAGAATTACTCTTATTTTACAATCCATCTTTATAGTCGAGGAGGGCGATTAAAGCCAAGCAAGTGCACCAAGTGAGTGAGAGAGAGAGCTAGCAGGAAACATAAGACACCTGTAGTCCAAGACGAGAGACTAGAATAGGGAGACCGAGTCGGAGATTCCCCTGTTTTCCACGCATTTGGTCAGCAAGAAAAGGAAACAAAACAACAAAAGGTCAGTTCTCAGAACACAATAAACTAAAGACGTCATACAATATACAGCAGACACACTGGTAACCACTAAGATTACGCGGGGCTTGGGTTCTGAACGGCATCGATATACTACTAATAATAAATGACACCAATAAGAGAATCCCAACACAAAACACACACATTAACCCAGTATACAGAGAAATTACAGCTTAATGTTAAAGAAATTGCAATACATCCCGCCAACACTGGAACCAGCAGATATGTAAAAAAAGGTAGGGTAAATATTTAAAGGTGGGATTCTGTGAAGTACAGGAGAGAGTCTTGGTAAATTCTGAACAGGAAGAAACATGGCTGTGTAAACACTTCAGAGTAGAAAACATCCTTTTGTTTCCTACACACTGATTTTCCTCTTGAATTGTAGTGGTGGTCTGCTCATGCTGAAGACATGTGAATATCTGCCGAGAAAAATACATCACAAGAGAGCAGATGCACATAAGAACCACAAAACATCATATCAAATTAAATTTAAATGCAGTAAATAACACACTTATGTCCACCGAATAATTACTTTTTTTTTAAGCATCCTACATTGATAATCTGGTTATCAGTACACCATGCAACTCTAAAATTTAGTCATTTTTTTTAAGCAATACAGTTATCACATTTAAAACACAACTACAGCAATAAAATTTATCCTACATGATAAAAATTTACCTTCACATTTCCACTGTATATAGCACTCTATAGCAAACAAGCTAATTGTCCGTTAGCTACGAATTAAAAATGTCAGTACATTATACAATAAAATTGTTCTAAAATTTACTTATATCGCTTAAAATACATTAAAAATAAACGGATAAATGCAAACAAGTGCCTAAATGAGCATACAAAGCACGATTCTGTGATCTTAAGAGTGGTTTGGTTACCAGCTTGAAAAATACAAAAGACTCGGGGATGTTAGCAAAATTGGTTCATGGATGTCAAGCTATATGACTTAAAGCATTACTTTCACATAGGTACAGATTGAAATAACTTTCTTTAGTGTTTCCAAAAAAGAAAAAAATGGGGGGGGGGGGCAATGAATGAGACAAGTTGACAGCCTCTTGTCATTTGTAGAAATTGCTACCAACATATCACCTATTCTACAGACTTCTTCTTCAAATGTCTACACAAACTGAGACATATGGAATTTTTCAGCTATACATTAGTTGAAAATAAAACATGCATATTCATCAACACTAAACAAGAGTAAGACAGTATTAAAATACTTAATGTTATGAAAGTCAAGAAGAAAAGTTATGTGAAAGAACTATGAAATACAGTCTTCAAATCAGAAATCGTAGGAAACAATAATTAAAAATCTTGTTCACTAATTTTCCAGTTTCCAGCTTAAAGCTTCTAAAAGAACTGAGGTCATAAAAACTTCTTAAAATAAGTTGCTATCTCACATAAGACACAAATATAACAACAAATGCTAATGATGCACATTTATGCGCCTCAACATAGTAAATTTTCATTACTAGAAAAAGAAATCTTAATACAATTATTTCATTTTCACATGTTCAAGAGGCATGCAGCACAGTAACTTAAAAATCCTACATATTCAGTTACAAAAACCATTCCTAATTACTTGTGCAAAAGCTGTTTGGAGTGTGACATTAATTTAACCCTACAGACATTAATAAAGTGCATAATAAAATTCTAATCTCAAGATTTCTGCAACACAAAAGCTAAAATTTTTTTAAAGTGCATTCAGAACAAAACTGATAAGACGATTCTGCTACGATTTTTATAACACAATGACAGTGGGGGAACACAGGTAATTAAAATAATGTGAGCATCCATGTAAAATGATCTGTATGTCAAAAGCAAAAAAAACGTACATCAGAACGTGTGCCAGTAAAAAAGTCATCTGCTCCTGCGCGTCTGACCAAATGTGGCATTAGGTACAATGGTTACAGCATTCACATATTTAAACGCAGCAAAAACAAGATGGTGAAACTCGAAACATAATCCCCTATCCTATAAATTATATTTCAAGGATCTAGTTATAACAGATGGAACATGGACTAGAGACTCATTCATACAGAATAACACAAAAAGCCAACAAAACGCCAAGCAGCGAAAAAAGAAGAAAACCTAAGCGTAAAACATAAAGACGAAAAGAAAAGACCAAGATAACCGCAGCTGCTGTACAGTGAAGCCAGATGAAGTCAAGTACGACAGCGGAATGCAAGGATGAAGCAAACAACAGCGAGAAGAGATGGAACCCTAACAACGTTCAGGTTTGTTTTAAACGTGGACGAGTCAACTGACTGACAGAAAGATAAAGAGAGCGATTACACTTTGATCCTCGCAAGGGGTTCCGTGCTAGCGAGGTTGCGTTCCCATTGGGTGGGATCCCGGTCCCCGCCCCTGCCCCGACCCCACTGGTTGGGCTCGTGGGGGCTGAGGTGGGAAGGCTCCCTCCCTCAGGGTTCCCACTGCATTCTTTGCTTCCTGCAAACATACAACAACGTGCAATCCAAAATTCAAGTCGGCTCCAATAACCCACAATATTCAGCCGGCTATCATCGTAAACATACCTCTGTGCCATTCTGTTGGAACAGCTTTTAGATACCCTCTGAAGTGCATGTTCATGATATGATCTTCATAATAAACTACAAAAAGTGACCAGAAGTGTAACTGCCGATAAAATTAAACAACGATAACAAAACAAAGCACATTCCTCGAAAATATTAATAATTAACCATTTTTACAAATCTTTCCCACAGAAGTATCAACATTTAATGTGTACCATAAAACCAAGCAGATAAAACCACTTCAAATTTTTTTTTGCTAATTCTGTAAATTTGACTTCATCTGAAACAATGCTATAAAAAAACAAACAACAAAGCAAAGCACAACTTTAAGAAGATAATCTCTTTTATCACAGAGAAACAGAAGTTTCTCCTTGGTACAGGACATGGCACAAAGGTCTAGCGATTCATTGATACCAAGCAAAAAGATAACCATGTTATTTTAAAGCACAAAATTGTTAATTTGTAGAGACGAGTCAACACACTAACATTACTGTGATAAAATACATGAACTGATTGGACAAATGTGGATACTGAAATAAGACTATGTAAATACTGTACATATGTTCACATGTCAATGAGTTCCATTTAAATCTTTGCTGTGTAAGTAAGTACAATTCTTACTGCACACAATTTTTTTAATTCTGTATAACTGATGTTTTAGTTCAAATCAACTTCTGCTCCATAGGATTTCAGGTTTCCATGGCAGTGAGTCCAAAGATGGCCGTCCTTTGGATTGTAGTGCCGTGTAGTCTGGTAGACGTTTCCCAACATTTCAGAGGCCCTCGCTGCCTCCATCATCAGGCCGATCGCATCTCTGAAAAGTTGATCAATTTCTACACAGCACATCATCCCAGAAGACGCTCATCTTCGAACGTTTGCTCCGTTTCCTAAAACACTGACCCTCCAAAATTTATTACTTAATAAAATACAAAGTGTATAAAATGGAACTTCAATTTCAGCACAGGTGAGGGGCATGAAATAACATTTTCAAAATCCTGACCTCATTAATACAACTGTAATAAATAAAGTGACTGTATCCTGGTACTTTAAACATGAATATTTCATATTTTTTAATTAAGTGGGACATACTAGCAAAATTTCTGTGCAACCAACGCTGCATGAGAAAGAATGTGTGAGAACACCAACAGTCCGAAGAATAATTACATCAATGTCATTCTTCACACAAATAAAAATATATGTTCAGTGATATCACTCTTATACAACAGAGATTGAGTTACCATCACCTCTACATACAAACACAGAATTCACCATTGCCAGTAACATTTCTCCACAAAATCACACAGTCCACCTAAGAAATACACTTTAAATATACAATTTATTTATCTATGGTTTATTTAATAATGCTGTCAGTGGTTCAGACAACAAAGCAACATAAATAATCAGAAGTGTGCATATCAAGAAATATGTTTCTTTAATAAATAACAACATTCTTCTGGACAATTTGGACAGACCATCACAAAGAAAAAGATACAGACCATTTGTCCACATTAACCAGAAATCCCTCTCGAATAAACGAGAATCCTTTTATGCAAAAGCAAGTGAACATACTGTGTAGAAAACATGTAATGTTACATTATTATTTCAGTATCATACAATTTTATCCAATCACTGACAAGAATAGCTTACATAACTATCCAAACTAAAGGATGAACTGCTTAAATAAGTACGCAAGACATGTTGTAATATAATATAATCCTTTCGGCTCTGAACCACTTGAAATAAAGGTAAAATTCATCAGTGATACCATGTTCTGCTTCAGTGGTTTAAAAGCACTAAAGTCCACATATGGTTTCAACAAGTTTAGAATATGTTGTAATAACGAACACTAATCTTAAAAGGTATTTACATAAATGCAAAATAAAAAAAACTACAGTAAATATGCACAGGTTAATACAATGCATACACAATGTGCAGTACAATTACTGCACACAGATCTTGTAACTATGACTAGTAGACTGGTTTTACAGGTTGAAGACAATTTATGGTTCCTCCAAAAAGGTGGCCACCAACTACACAGACACACGACCCGGAAGACTGCAATCAATATCTTCTCTACCGTGAGAAACTCAGAACTCAGATAATTATTCTCTATGAGGATACAACACAACACAGAGTTTAATGAGTATAATTTCACTTCACTCCTGAACAGGGAGGCATTATGTTCCTCCAAAGCATTGGTAACTACATACAGCATCACAACCCAGAAGACCACAAAGAGCATTATTTTAAATAGTTCTGGTTTTGCCTGAGTTCAAATGGAGTGCAGCACGCTCCGAACTTAGCCACACCACACTGCCACATAACTAGTCTGCTAACGAGCAGTTTTACAGTACCGCATTCTAAAAGGACTGATATGATTATAAATGTACACAGAGACTGGAAGCAAGCCTTCATGCAGTCAGACAGCTACTAAGAAAATAATGTGACTACCGCAGGGCAGCGCTCTCTCCACACATCACGTCTGAATAACGCACAAGAACAAATATCATATCACAAACAGAATGTTATGGGTTGAAACATGGACAGAAAAACACACACACGCACAGAGAACGGGGGAGGAGGCAGCTTGACACACAAACTACAGTGGTAAGAACCCTGTGTTTTGAAGTTGGTGCTTGCAAGGGAATTGTTGGAGAAATTACCAACATAAAGCCATGCCATATTTCTAAGTTATCTAAGAAATTACTCTATCGTTTCATGAACTGTACAAAACGTAAGGGGTTACAGTTATTAAATTAAATTAGGGTCTAAGATTGGTGATCAAGAGTATAGTTAATCCATAACTAACAGAACTATGAATCAGAAATGCTATAAACATACACAACCTTAATTTCATGAATAAATATGCTACAAATACATGTTTACCTACAAGAGTAAACTTTCCCCAATAAACTAGTCCCCAGAGACTCATACCAACGTGTAACATATAAAATTAGTTTCCAAGAGAACTGTATGAGTTATGAGTTGTGACAGCCCACACCAGGGAATCTGTACAGAGTATCCAAGATCCTTGAGGAATTTTGGACATCCAGCATCCCTGTATGGAACAGGGAAGTATAACCTTTTCCTCTGAAACACGTGACCTATCCAATATTCAGATTATGTAACAATCAGATGAATTTGCAGTTTAAATTCACAAAGTTTAGATGTCAAAAGTCTGTCATGTGTATACTGCACTCAATATTACGAAGAAAATAAAGGCCTCACTAAAGTTTCTACACCACGATAAAGAAAACTGATGGACGAGGTAAATCTAATATTTCCACTTATTACCCCGAGTCAATGCAAAGCTACCAAAAATGGTAGGCATGCAGACAGTGTACTTATTAACACATCATCCACTACATTCATAAAATTATATTTAAACTGTCATATCCTAATTACAGGCAATATTTAAATATGCATTCAGAATAAAATAAAATATAACTGACTGTGCCAAACACGGATCAGTTATCAGCATTTAAGGAACATGACATTCAAGGAAGTGAAAAGGTTTTAGTCATGTGTGTGTTCTTTGAACAAGCAATGCACTGAAATAATCTAATACTCAAAGACTAAATCAGAGTCCTACATCCCACGGAGTGTGTAAAGAAGAAATAATGAAACAACTAATTGGAACTAATTATGCTGATTTCATTCATTAGTGACCATTTTAGAAAATGAGTAATCGCAGGTACATGTTGAAAATTTATAATAGGTTTAAAAATCTCTTTTGCAATTACAAAATCAATCCCAAATTTTTGTATACAATAAACTTGAAATTATAATAATTTGTTCAAAAGAACTGTTAACAATGGATTTGGTAGCACTGAGAGAAAAGCTCCTGATAAAAGTAATTTAGTAAGCAGAATATACATAACCTGTTCATAAATGTTCTCTGGCACAAAACACAAACTTAAAAATGGTATTAAAAATCAAACCAAGAAAGAAAACTGTTCACACAACACTCCTCTTCAGAAACTCAACCAATTACATACAGAAAATATTAGTGCATATATACAGCCTCTGAAATAATTCAACATTGCAAGAATTATTAATGCACTGTAATTGTTAATGTAATATTTTAAAAAATATTCCATTGCCCGCCTTCTCTTTAAAAAATGACAAACTGGAGGTATAAACAATCAACTAAGTGGTAGTATACAGTAACAAACAAATTGTGGTAAAACATGCACGTACATAGAAAGGTTTATCACATCTAAATACAACTTAAAAATGTTTATTACATAATAAACATATATGATTCAAACACTACATTTTCATTTTAAACAAAAAAATGAAGGTTGTGTGGCCTAACTTACGGATGGGCAGAACCACAAAGTACGCAAATTTTATGGAACACTTCCTGGTAAAAGTTTATCCTTTTAACATTAAATATCGGTCACGCACGACGACACACATAAAACAATTTACACGGACCGATGATAGTCCACACACTCGTGTTCTCTGACGTCTAACATATTTAGTAATTTGAGTATGATTCCTTATAAATCTGAGAAAAATTACAGCTTCGCATTACAAAGCTGATTGTCATCGGAAACTACTTTCTTCATCTTCAAGTAAAGAGTGTGAGAACAATGGCGTAGAATTTACAATTTTCCGTCAGTCACCAACTGATGTGAATGTTAAGAAAATGTGTGGAAAATTTAACAATATCCACAGAACTGTGTATCTTCTGGGTGAAGCTTTCAAAAATACCAATTTAGAAAAAAAGAAAAAAAGAACTATTATGATGAAAATGATCTTATTTTACAAATTTAATAGCCATTATAAGCACAGAATCCAATTTCATCCAGAAGAAGAAAACTAATTTTCAGCTACAATAAAATCACTTCCATAACACACGCTTATAAAAATGTAAAGACTTAATTGGACCTGAAAGTCTGAATATTATGATACATAATTCAATGCAGATATGGTACCTATTAAAAAACATGAAGTAGCTATCCCAGTTAATTATCCTGAAAAAGTAAAAAAAAGCAAACTACACAATATTACGAACAAATACCTTCCCAAGTTCTTTTGTCGACTGTTATAAATTTAAATATATTCAAAAACTGTTATTACAATCCTGTTCTATGTAAGACTTGAGGTTCTCACAGCGGTGAGTATGAAGACGGACATCTTAATCCTGTTCTACTTCTGCACAATTAAATGAAGATATATTGTACACTGCACTGCTAATCAATCAACTGCGTCAGTTTCTTTACAACCAAACCTGAATGCAGCTCATTTCAAACATGGCTTTCAATAGTCTGCGCAAAAATACAATTAACAAAGAACAAAGAAAACAAAGATACAGACACATCACTTAACTATTAACCACAATACCTACCTCAGTGTACAAGATATTTGGAACACGCAAGATTATTGCAAAATTTAATGCTAAAATCACATATTTCTGTGCTGTCGCTGAACAGTACATGTAAAGTAAAAGTTTCAGTGTACGCTGCAGTACACTAATAATGGTCAGTGGCTACTTTTAAATGCTGCATGAAACACTATTTATTTATTTACACGTTTATGGGCTCTTTATTTAATATCCATACAGATAAGTGGCAGGATCTTGTTAACATGGTAATGAACCTTCATGATCCATAAAAGGAAAATACTTTGTCTAGCTGAGAAATATTAGGTTCTCAAGAATGATTTTGCACCATCCAAAGCGAAGTCCAAAATCACGTTGGTTTGTTAAAATTTTATTTCTGAATATCACGCTGTTGTTGGATCCAAAAGTTCAAGGGAGATAACGAAAATGTGGATGCATTTAAGTACTGTGTCTGAAAACCACTGCATGAAACTTGGTGCGAGGTTTAGCATAATTAGTACCAGCTAGGAAGAAATGATTTCTGAAGTCTTTACACACATACCCTGGGAGTTAGACATGAAGAGGTTGAGAAGGGAGGTAGTGCGACGGGATGTTTTGCTTTCTTTTGTTTTCTGTCCACCAGACTCAAGATTACCTTCTTTTTTGGAAGGCTTATCACCATTCGCTGTTTTATCTGAGGAATCAGGTGTCTGGTTACTAATTGAAGTTAACCCTGACATATTCAGTTCCTCAAATTCTATAGAACCTGTAGGCAAAACAACAAATTAATTCAACTGCCTTCGGTGGCCATGACAATTAATTTTACGACACAATTACGCAGTAATTCACAAGATAAATGTACACTTGAACTCACATACAATATGTATCAAAGATACAAGAGCAAAATGTGCTTGATAAATTGTCCATATAAGACTAAATGCAGATAACAAAATAACTGAACCCAAGGCAAGTACAAACAGAAGCCATACATTATTCACTTTTAAAATGTAGCGATGTCACATATACTTACATTCTTCCTCACATAAATGCCAACATTTAAAACATGTTTCAAATTAAAAACATTCTGAATAACAATCTATGAGTAGCTAGTGTTCTTACAAACAGTTAAGTTACCTTCAGGCAGCATCTCGAAAAAAGGACGAGATTACTTAAATTACACAAATGCCACAAACTATTTGAAAACATTAAAACAAATCGAGGGGTTCAAATTAAATAAGTGAAACATCTGTAATTCCTGAGAACACACCAAACAAACTTAAAACAGCGAAACCCATCAAAAGCTTCTAAAAACACACCAAACAAACTTAAAACAGTGAAACCCATCGAAAGCTTCTACCGTTCTAGTATTTAATTCACGTTCAAACAAATAAGAAAATCCTAATATTTCAATGGGGCTATATTATATTGTCCGATGCCTTTGTTAATGCCCCATTACTACAGTACTTCAAACATTCTTATAGTTACAAGAATGTCATTACGCTGAAAACCTATTTACGGTATTAATCACCGACATTAATTTTTAAAAGTAAAGCAAGTCTTATCATCCCCACACATCATTCTCAGATATTTGTAAAAAAATGTACTTACACAACTGGTTCTTAAAAGCATTACACCATATATTTCATGCAGTCAACAGAACACTAAACTCAGTTGACGCGTGAAACCAAACTGATCAAAATTGCTACCTTGGAAATCAATTTGCATGCAATTCTAGTAATTACTACACAACTGGATCAGCTTAACCATACAATGATAACATATCAGTAGGCAATCCTGCAATACACAGAACTCACAAGGGACTGGGAGGCAGGAGCCAATTAGCAAAGACACACTAATTACACTTCTAAATGCAAAATTTCTTAAGTTACCTGGCTTCTCCAACCCAGTGCATTTGTTCGATACAAACTGCTCAAGGAGTTTATCCACAGTCATTTCCAAACATTGTTGTTTAAATTCTATGTGAACCTGAAACCAATTTTAAAAATAAGTTTGCTTCCAATGGACGGGGAATAGTAAAGCCATATTATTCTGAATCAATCATTCCATTCTGTTCTGACGTCAAACCAGAAATTTCTATCCAACCAATTATTGGCAGGCTGAGAGCTACAGAATATTAGGTGGCAGCACCAGGCACGAGGAAGCTGAAGTTCTTCACTGGAAGGCCTATGGATAAACTTTCTACCAACCTAATGGCCGTAGATGGGAAACAATGCACATAATTAACTGGCCACTGTACGTAAAGACAGCACCCACAAATGGGCACCTCAGAAAACACGAACAAGAGAAATCGTCCCGCCATCTACTCTTGACCAGAGCTGACCGAGCACAGATAAGAAGACAGCCTTAGCAGTGCAGTCATGGCTCTCTGACGGGCCCTAACAATATCATGGGTGCACAATGGTCTTGGCGCCTGGAGCAATTGGTTCCTCCTTGACCATAAAAATACCAATACCAACACCAAGGAATATAATATAAAAACTTACCTGTCCAATGAGATCATGGTTATTTTGCAGAACTTCAGCATATGTATTGAGGAATTCCTTCATTTGTTTAACATGTGCCTCTTCTACGTCTTGGAAGTGCTAAAACAGAATGAAGTAGTATGCGGCCATAAATATCACACAGTTATAATCAAAGATGGCCGTCTTCTGGGTTGTCGCACCGTGTAGTCTGGTAGATACTAACTAACATCTCACAGAAGCTACATAAATACATTTCTTTATAAAAATCAAAGTATGCCTTGTAACTTGCAAATAAATTATCACTCTCTCACCTTACAAGCCACAGACATCTTCTTCTCAAAATCTTCCTTTACGGCACTGTACTTGTCTATCAAATTTTTATAATCTTCTTGAGCCTTCTTTAATTTTGCTTCTGCTTTTTCCACATCTTTTGCGGAGGCATTTTCTTTTTTCAATTTGTCAAACTCTAAACCCTTCTGTGTATAAGCATCCTTAGCCTTTTGTAACGTTAACGTTGTTGACTGAATAGCCTGCACTATTTCTAGCGTACCAGACTCCTCCTCCTTTACCTGAAACAATTTTAAACATAATTGTTTATGATTTGCGATAACTCTCCCCACTTTACATTTTTAACAGATTGTCACATAACAGAATTCTCCTCCTACAGCCCCATACCTATGAGACATCCTAACATTAATGACAGAAGAAATATATCATTTGAAGAACAGCTACACGCTACAATATAAAACGTTTGTGGAATGGAAATCGACATACTGTTTTATGCTTCTTATGCAGTTCATCCGCATATCTGCTCACTTCCTTGACAAGTTCCGAAACTTTCTGAACCATCTGCATGTGAAGGTTGGCAAGTTTCTCTGCTGACGTACGAAGCACATGCCAAAGAGGAGCAAATGTTCCTTGGACACAGCCTCCAGCCGCTTGTTTAGCAAGTTTGCTTAGAAGTTTTGAATGGTTCTCCTCAATACTGGATCTGGAACGTAACACAAATTGTTGCAAAAATGAAATACTACAACTAAAAGGATTCACCGAAAACATTTCACTTACTCTTCAACCTTCACATTCTCAAAAACATAAAACAAAAGCCATTAATTATTATAAAACTCACTCAAAACTGTCTCTACCCCTTCCTTTATAATTTTTTAAAACAGGAAATACCTAAAATAAATCCCTTAATATCAATGGTCAATTTACATATTCTGTAGTGTTGTGTACCCAATATGGTTCAATGTGCTAGAAGTATAATAAATTCCTCACATACCTTTCCCTCAAAAAATCTGCAAACTCCTTACTTGCAACCAGTCCATGTTTCATATTATGGTACAGAACATCAAATCCATTGTTTTTCTCCCCCTGAAATAAAAAAAACTGAAATTAAATAGCAGAAAAACATGTTTAAACATGCAGTCTAATTGTGTTGGGTACGAATGTAAACATTATAGTACTTGCAATTATCCCACAGCTTTAAGAAAACAAATTACTAGACTAATTTTTACTTTACTTAATGATGTTTCTAATCTAGAAACTACACAGCCATTGTCCACCTGTCCACCTGGTCATTTTCCTCAATCTCTTTGGGCAATGACAGGATAGTACCATAAATTGTACCACAACCAATTCCTTCTATAGCTTTTCAAATTTATGACCCATTAATCATCCCATCATGTGATGCTATATACAGCATTGACAGCATTATTAAATATATCACACAAAACTAAACTAGCACATAACAGAAAACACAAAGTATGGTTTGTGATAGGCATATTTATGTAAATAAGCCATTCAGTTCTAAATTGGTTGGTAAAATGTCCATAACCTAAAAACACCAATTCAGAGGCGACTTACAAATCATAATTAGAATACAGACACAATCTTACCCTTATTACATATACATACAGAAGTAAAAAACTAAACACCCCATTCACTGTTAATTTTTCCCAGTGGCGTACATATGTGTGCTTGTTTGTGTTTGAAATGTAATTTGACAGTAGCTTAAAAAAAGCCACTGAAGCATTCAAAATCGCAATAGCGTCCATGCGATATTTCATCAAACACGCAGAAACACCGTGGTCACTATTCCAAAATTAACACTGCGGCGATTTAAAAAATACTAATTACCTACCCATATTAACATGGTAACATTACATACGAAACAATCTTGGCCAACAGAAAGTTCTACGACTGTATTTTAATTAAACAAGCACGAACTACACTGTACTGTGATTCCGTGATTAGTGCAACAAGATAAGTTTCTTACCCAAAAATAATCACTGAAATCAACCGTCATGTTGATCTTTTACCCATACCATAAACAAATACCTTTTCTCACTTACACGAACCTAACACACCTGTACAAACATAAATATGGCGACACCCCCTGATACTTGTGTCAACATACCGATAGATGTCGTTATTTACATACTATGCTGGTTATGGGAAATTCAAATATACCCTTACTTCCTGCCTAATTCGTGCTGTATTTGTACTTTACTTAATGATTTCATTACCTCAAGACCACGTTGCGTCGAATGTAGGAGGAAGCGGTCGTGGCCTAATTTATGCTACTATCCTGGAACACGTCTGGAGAGACTGAGAAAAATCACTCAACCATGGCATTCGGCGGAGCTATGTACTATAAATAAGCAAGGATAAACACTTGCACGAAACACAATGATCTTTCCATGAAGGAATGAAAATTCAGGATTACACACAATCCACCACAGCAGCAATACCTGGAAGAAATGTCATGGTCTATTGGATTCCAGGAATTATGAAAGGAAAACAATGTGGAACTAAAGTATCAGAAGTCATCCTTTTTCTTCAGTGGTCCTGAAAAGCTTTGTCTCACTTGTCTGCTTTTATATACAATGGTATGTGCTGGGGATCCAAGTATGAGTGTAGCCAGAAAGCCAAAGTTCATCTCCCTTTCTGAACCATAACACTCGCTTTTAGCTTAACCCGCTGCAAACAACTTTCGAACACACTTCTTTCCCAGGCAGCTCAAATTAATTTTTACAAAAAACTTTATTTAGGTGCTTGTATACTTTTAGCCTCTGGGTGTGTTTATGGATTTATATCTAAGTACAGTCATAAGTAAAACATCAGGGATGCCAACAGAAGAGAATACTGCAGAAACTGTAAATAACAATACTGACATCAATTTTATACTGAAATTAAGTCTGTCAGAATTATCATCATTTTATTTGATAAATAAAATGATGCTTCAGATCCTGTGATCACTCAGGTCAGCTATGATTTTTCCAGAAAAGGGGAATATCACTTTTTGATGAAAGCAAGACGTATTTGTCATCTGCTGTGGGGATGAGCAACTATTAAAATATATCAACTCTCTACACAGCAGAAACTGCAGCGAAGAGACATCAAAGGTTTAGCCACGTTTACTTAAATGTAATGTTTTAATTTTACAAATTTAAACATCTTACACTACCTGTTACCCTTCATTTAAATAACATAATACCATGGTTATTCAATTACAAACAAATTCATAAACTTCAAGGGAGGAGTTACATGATTTTTCATACTTCACACACAACAAAATCCTGATTTCAGGTAGAAAACATTCTCCACACATAGATATACTAATCACCTCTTAATGAAAATATGCTGAAACCTGCTCAGTTGTGCTTCAGATATCACAACCTTCATAAGAAGATAGTTGCTGTTTTTAGAATCAGTTGTAACACCTGTCACTGCTGCGTACTTGTACAGCCAACTGTAAGAAAATAAAATAAGAATCTGGTTTGAATCTCAGGAGACCTACTGACCAATCTGAGGTTTTCATGGTTTTTTTGAGTCTTTAAAGGCAAATACCGGCTTCAAACAGTAAACCATCACCCAAACAATGTTTATAATCGTCACTGTAATATATTTATCTATTTACCTTACTTCTTCACCACCCATTTTCACCCGTATAACTACAGAACGCCTTCCAGTTGCTTTAAGTATAGTTTTATCAAGCTGCACTATTAAATCATGTAAGCCTGTAAGAAAATAAAGTAACTTCAGGTATTTAGAAATAATAACATTAATGAAGTAGAACAATGAGGGAACTATTTGACGGGCGTATCAACGGAAATCTAAACATCGACAAAACATGCCTCAGTTCATAT